AAGCATTCGTGGACAGTCGGCAGCGCGGGAACTCGAGGACTCCAAACTCCGTTGAAAACCTATTGAAAATCCATGGTTTAAGCCTTTGGAGGCCCTCCTGGAGGTCATATGGGAGCCCTCCTGGGCGATTTCGTCGGGTTTCTCAGGCTTTCTCGATGCCGTCCTGGGCCACCTTGCGGCTATCTTGGGTGACCTTTGTCGGCAGCGTCTTGGAGGCGATCCTGAATCTTCTCGGGCCCTTTCTAGGGGCCTTCTGAAGCCGCCCGTGTCGCCTCAAACCGCGCGCCGCAGGACTTCCTTTTTTTGAGACGCTACTCCCATTCCCAAGGAAGTTTTGCGAGGGCAATCTGCAAGAAAACTACCGCAGGAAACGCGGCGCTACCGATCGTATCGTATCGGAGGAGCCCTGAGACACACAACCAACGGAAACGCATGGGCGGTGGCCGCTGGGCCGTTGCCCCGCGCCTCACGCTCCCCTGCCTCTGCAGGGGAGGCACAGTGAAGGCGCCCCCCCCCTCCCCCTGGTGGAGAGAGGCGCAACCCCCACACAAGCGAGGCCCCAAAACTGGCCACAGGCATCCAAGCTCACTGAGAGTTTACTGAGCGGGATCCCTGGGCTGCAACCTGAAAAAGCTCGTGAGAGTTCTCTGACCTAGCGGAGGGCGGGACAGAGGGCGAGGCGTCACCGTCGTCGGAGGCGTCAACGTCGTCGGAGGACGAGGGAGGAGGGCTAGGCAGGATTCCCGAGCCTCATCTGGCCTGGCTGCTCCTGCTCTCACCTGCGCTTCTGCTTCTTCAAGCCGCTGCTGGCGGTGCCGCTGCCCGAGCGGAACGCCACGTTCTCTACCAGTTTGGCTGCCTAGGACCTCGTCGCGACGTTGAACTGGAGTGAGGTGCCCGCGGCGGCCATGGCTCCGATGGTCCGCAGCTTGTTGAGCGCTGCCTTGAACTCTGGGTAGTGATTCACCTTGAGGATCCACCATGACTCGCCCTCCTCGTAGCTGTCGCCCTCCTCGTTGCTGTCGCGGCTGACCTGGATCCGAAGACAGCGCGTGGCCACGAACTTCACCTCGGTGTTCAGCGCCTGCTTGCCCATCTGCATCAGCACCTCCAGCGCTGCAAGCGCTGCCCCGGGTACGGCCCTCTGCGACGCCGCCTCCGTCACCTGCTGCCTCTTGAGGAGCACCGCCTCCATGATGCGAAGGACCTCGGCGTGGGCCAGCGCGTCGGGCCGCTTGCCCCACAGGTAGCCCAAACACAGGCTGCCCTGCTCGCTCGCCTTCTCCTTGTCCACGCGACCCTCGTCCTCGAAAGTCGCGATGACCCGCTCCAGCGCGTTCGTCAGGGCGTACTGCGGCTTGAGAGCCATCACCAAGTTGTCGTCTCGGTGACCCGCTCGTGCGAGGTCCTCGCGCAGGAGGGCGGGTCTGGCGCGTGCCTTGGCCGGCGGTCCCGCGACGTCGTTGCCCTCGCCCTGGCCCTCCAAGTTCGGGGCCGCCGCGCGCTTCAGGCTGGCTGCCACCTGCTCCTCCTTGATCGGCTGGAACATGTCTGGCAGGGACTGGAGGTGATGCCGCAAGCTCAAGTCGAGAATCTGCTTGAGCCTGAACGCCAGCGAGGACGGAGCAACGGCCAAGCTTGGCATGGCGGATCAACGTGTCCTTGCGAGTGAAGAGTTTCGCACAGTGAGGGCAACGCTTCTGTTGAAGATCAACGTCCGAAAGGAGGTCGGCCGTAGGATTCGCATAGATGTTGTGAGCTGCATGTTTATGATTGGCGAGGCCCTTCTCTCCATTGCAATTTTGTCCACACACACATCGCACTGAATCCAGACAACAGCAACGGGTTCGCCTGCTGCGACCTCGCCAAAAGTGAGAACACGGCGAAAGCAGCGTTGCTCAGAGGAGGCCAGCCAGCGAAGCCACGGCTCAGCAAGGTCAGGTAGGTCTCCATGTAGGAGGAAGAGGCGGCGGGCCTCCAGCTGTTCGTGTGCCTCCACGGTGTTCCATAGCTGGCGCATGTCGGCCTTCAGCTGGGCCAGGAGGCCGCGGGGCTCTCGTGGGCCTGAGGGCTCGAAGGAGAAGCGGCCGAAGATGACGGCGCGAACCGCCAGCGTGGCGTCGTAGAGGTCAGGTGTGGGCCCGCGAAAGACTGGCCATAGGACCTGTCGCCACCATTTAAGTCGTCGATGCAGTAGTGTGCTCTCCACTGTCGGAACGCGGGCCTTCCTCCTGATCTCGCGGTTGGTGAGCTTGTTGATGTGGGCTGGGGAGTGGAGGAGCCCCCTGAGTTTCCGAACTTGCCAGGATTCCAAGCGGAGGATCTCACGCTTGGACATCACAGCGACTTCCAGCGCATATAGGCCAATTGACCGAACCAACGCCTTCCACAAGCGTATCTTCATCTTCGGGCTGAACCCCCCCCTTGAAAGCACGTCGGAGGAGTCGAGAGTGGGCTTGGCTGGCGCTCTGAAGCCTATGGGTAATCTCCGTCTGGTAGCTGCCTGACGCCGCCATGCGAACGCCTAGGTACTTGACCGTCGGCTGCGGGTGCACGGCGTGGGCCTCCTCATCCTGCCAGGTCACGATGCCCGTGGAGTGTGAGTTGATAGTCTTCTGGAGTCTCTTACTGCCCGTGCCGCTGGGGATGAGGAGAAGCTCAGTCTTGTTCGCGTTGACCTTCATGCCACCGTAGGAAATCTCGCCGTTCACTAAGTCAAGCAGCTGGGTCGCCTCGTCAAAATTGTTCACCTCTCCAAACGTCAGCAGGTCGTCTAAGAACTTGAGGTGGGCGGTCCAGGCACTCGCAGGAGTCATTCGGCAGCGGGTCCGAGGTGCGAATCTTCTTGAGGCTAGGGTCAAAGTAAACGAAGATCCCAGGAAACTCATTCTCACGCTGACGTTCTGCCACCTCGGCCACTAGCTTGTCATAAGCAGCGACAAAGAGACCAGGGCTTTCCACCCCTCCCTGGCGGACGCCGCGCTGAACTTGAATGCGGGAGCAGGGCAGGCGAGTGCGCACGTCACGATAGAGGTAGCACATGCCGTCGTGGAGTTCCTCCAGCGTCTCACGTGCATCAGGCCGTAGTTGGAGAGACTCCAGGCTGTCCCAAATGGACTGCCGTGCGATGATGTCGAAGGCCTTCTCCAAGCCCGTAAGGATGACCAGTATCATAGGTGGAGGGTCCGTGGCGCGTCCGCGTGCTCGAACTCGATGGGCTTGCTGATGACGAGTGATGACCTCCAACGCAACCGAAATTGCGTCCCGAGTGCCACGGCCAGGCATGGCACCGAACTGGGTCGGGGAGATCCTGTGGGAGATGTCGCGCATGGCGTCGAGGGCGGTGACTCGCGTGAAGACCTTGCCCATGTGGCTGATGAGGCTGATGGTGCGGTAATCGTTCATGGCGGACTTCCCATCGCGTTTCGGCTTGCGCAGGTGCGCTGTCTCGCCATCCTTGAACCGCTGGGGAGCGGGGCCCAACGCCTGGCTGCATTGAAAGATCTGGAGTAAGGGCGGGCTGACGTTCTCCAAAGCAAGCTTCCAAGTCTCTGCAACCGCACCAGTGGGAGGAGCCACTGGGAACCACTGCAAGGTAGGGCCTCCCTTGAAGTTCGGTAGGTTACGAATGCCCTGCTTGATGTCGGCCAGGTCATACTGCCCAATGCGGTCACCATCACGGCCCCTGTGCTGGGAGTTCATGAAGCGCCATCGCCGTGCCATTGCACGGCGTGCAGATACTTGCCACTCTGACTTGGTTATCACGGTCTGAGTCAAATCATGGGAGGCCTGTCTGTGGGTCGTTGACGGTCATGATGGGTGCAGGCGGCTTGGGTGCGAGACGGCGCACGATGGAGAACAAGCGCCGTAGGTTGTTCTCGCCAGCCGAGCGTTCGGCAAGTGCGGCGAGATGAGCCATACGCTGCCGCTTTTCACTCCTGATGGCCTTGGTGCAGATCTTGGATGCCTCAAGGAACTTCTGGTGGAAGAAGAGTGTCAGCCATCTCGAGCTCGGAGGGAGAGCGGCCAGCTGGTGTTGCCAATGATGCTTCATCTTGATGAGTCGCACTGTGGCCTCCGAAAAAGCTGGCCCCGTAGGCGCACATCGAGGCTGTGGCATGTCAATGTAGTCCTGGGTGGCGGCCTCGATGATGACGCCCTCCATCGCGTTGAAGTACTCGGAAGGGTTGGCAAAGCGTTTGCCACTGCCGCACACATCGATCCAATCCTCATGCAAGCTCAACGCCTCGATGCCCTCCTGAACCTTAGTGCGGAAGAGATGCACGCGATCTGGGATGGGGTGGCTGTGCTCGAAGTCCCCCTCTGCCAGTTGGACTGCGCGCAGGTCCTGGATGAGAAGTTCACGGCGCCAGCGAGGTCGTGCACAGGGTTCCGTGGACTTCAGGCGGGCCCCGATGAACAATTTCGTCTGTAGGGGGCGGTGGTCCCGATATCCTCCAAGGTTGACTGGAAGGTCGAAGCGAGGGCGGGAAGCGTGGCCGTATCCCCCCTGGCGTCGAACAAGAACATAGTCGATAGTGGTCCAGGCTCCAGCTGGGCTCCTCCATGTGCCATTGCGGCGGCCTTTCTTTCCAAACGTATTGAGTGTTGCCAGCCCGAAATCCTCTAAGATGTCCATCAGGGCGCGCCCGTTATTGTTGATGAGGGGGCCATGCCCACGAATGCCAGCGTGGCCAACCAGAGGAGGGTGGGGAGGCAGGTGAGCATTGGCATCCAGCGTGACCACCAAAGAAGTGCGAGCAGGGACCAGGCCAATCGCGTGGCGGCATGCGCGCCAGAAGGCCTCCTGCTGAGAGAAATGAGCTTCACGGAAGGCGCCAGCATCCACACCATTCGGGGGTCTACCAGGGTCGTTGGTGGGCGCGTAGCCGTTCAGGACGTAGAGGTCGCGCTCAAAGCGACTGGGGCCACGGCTGCGAAGGCGAATGCCTTGAAGCCTGCCTGGCAGCCACGAGCGCTCGCACCTGACCTCGCCAGGCTTGAAGTGGCGCGCGCTGATGGCGATGAGGCAGCCATCGCGGTGGCCGACACCAGAACGAGGATGAGAGTGGACGCTGTAGCCGCACGACTGCCAGGTCATACCCAAGTCCATCTGGGTGCCCTGCATCGTGAAGATGGCCACGTCTTCTGCCTTCGCCAGTTCGAGTAGCTCCTCCAAGCGGCCCACTCGGCGAAGTGATTCAGCGTTGAAGCTCCAGAGCCGCACCGTCCTCTCTTTGAAGCACGTTGCGTCATGCCGAGCTGGCTCGCGGTCGAGCTCTTCAGGTTGATGGCGCAGCTGGGGCGGTTCGCTGGTGAGTAGTCCTGGGAGAAGTTGCGCTGCATCGGCACGAGTGTATCGTCGTCTTCGGTACCAAGCAGCGCCCACCACCAACGCGAACCGCACAACCCGCCTCAGGGCACGCTTGCCGCGCATGCCTATACGCCCTGCTTCCAGCTGCCTGGTGCAAACGGCTCCAGTAGTGCTGTCCTCGCGGGTCGGGCTGCCCGCGAACGCTCGCCTCGCAGCGGGCCCAGAGTCAGCAACCCCGCCAGCAGCCTACAGCGGCGGCAGCCATGGAGCAGCTGGCGGGAGGCCAAGGGCTGGCCAGGACTTGCGACCTGGCACGACCGTCCGCTGGGACGGCAAACGTCTCGAGCCGTCGAGGCTTCCGCAGGACTTCCGCCAGGTTCCGCCGGCGTTCCGCCCGTGGCCCAGGCTAGATTTCGAGGGGCCCCCAGCCACCCCCAGGAGAATGCACAACGGGAGCCCCTCTGCAATGTCGGGGGGAAGCTGCTTCGGGTGGCTCAGGACATTGGAGGTCCAGGTCGTCGTCCCTCTCTCCCCTCCTCCTCTCCCTCCTCCTCCCCTCCTCCTCCTCCTCCTCCTCCTCCTCCTCCTCCTCCTCCTCCTCCTCCTCCTCCTCCTCCTCCTCCCTGTCCCCCCCCGTCCTCCCCAAGACCCCCCCCCGGGGCATTAGACCTCACCTATGCCGCGGGGGGGGGGGGGGCGTCTGCAGCGGGTTCACTTCGTGTCCCTGGTGAGGCTTGCTTGAGGACTTCGTTCCGGCGTTGCCGCCCTTCAGGTGTGATGCGATACGGCTGTGATGTGGTATGCTGTTGCGGGCTCCTGTTCGATGCCATGGTGCGTTGTGGTGTTTTTTTGCTGCCGTGCATTGCTGCACAGTGCTGGAGTGGTGTGTGATGTCACGCTCTGTCAATGAACGCCATGCCGTGATATCTGCTACGCTGAAGTGTGCCACGAACTTGTACTCGAATTGTATACGCTCCCCATGTTACGCTATGCCACATCGCTCCATGCTATGCAACGTTTTGCGCTGCTCTGCAATTCAAGACTGTTGGATTGTTTCATGACATTCATCTGCGGTCGGACTCGGAGAACAATCTGTTAGAAAAGGGACTTGAGCCAAGAGTCGCCAGATCATGAGGCTTTGGGCGCGCATGATAGCTCTGCGAAGTCTGCCTGGTGCCCTCTCAACTCTGTGAGCCAACTGCAAAAGGGCACCGGTCCACCGGTGCCCTTTCTTATCTTCCAGCCGACTAGAAGAAAGCACCGGTCACAGCCATGCACTGATATTGCTCTCAGAAGACCTGCCTTGGAGGTTCAGAACATTCAAAACGACTGCGCCAGAAGTGGTTTCGAAAGCTCCGGGTGTCCAGGGGAGGGGGAATGTTGTATGGCGGGTCGCGCCTGCCCCAGCCTACAGGGGGTGCTGTGCTGTGGTGAGATGTGGTGTGCTTTTGCGTTTTTTTGTTCGATGCCACGGCACGTTGCGCTGTGTTGTTCCGCCATGTGCATTGCTTTCTAATGCTGCAGTGATATGCGACACAATGCTATTTTATGCTACGCTTTGCCATGTGACGCCATGCGGTGATATTTGCCACGTTGAAGCAAGCAGCGACATGATGACTAAACGCATGCAGTTCCCATGTCTTGGCAAGGCTACAGCCAATCGATGCTAAGGTACATCTCTATATATGCTACGCCACATTGTTCGTTGATTTGCAATTCAATGCTGCTGATCTGCGCTAGGATTGAGAAAGTAAAACTATCCCATGCGTTGTCTCTTCTTGAGGGCTCTCTGAAGTGATCTGCTCCCTACAGGGGGGGTATGCAAGGACATCCCCTGTAGTGCGGGTCAGGTCTGACTCGCACTGAAACCCACGCCATGGAGGCCTGGAGCCTTCAAAATCGATCTCGACGAAATCGTTTCGACGGTTCCGGGCCTCCAGGGGTGTGTGCTGTAGCGCGGGTCAGGCCTGGCCCGCACTACAGCCCCCCCCCCGAAGTGCCGTAACCATCGAAATCCAGTTTGACTAAGTTTTTTTCGAAGGTTCCGGGCACCCAGGGATGGAGGGCGTTGTAGTGCGGATCAGGCTTGACCCGCGCTACAGCGCCCCCCTGGAGGCCCGGAACCTTCAAGACCTCCAGGGGGAGGGTGTCCTGTAGTGCAGGTCAGGCCTGACCCGCACTGCAGCCCCCCCCCACGGGAGGCCCGGAACCTTCAAGAGCAACATTAGCGAAGTTGTTTCAAAGGTTCCGGACCTCAGGGGGGGGGGCGCTGTAGTGCGGGTCAGGCTGACCCGCACTGCAGCGCCCCTCCCCTGGGGCCCGGGCCCCCCCCCCACCCCCCCCCCCCCCCCACCCCCCCCCCCCCCCCCCCCCCCCCCCCCCCCCCCCCCCTGGAGGCCCGGAGCCTTCGAAACAACTTCGTTAAGATTGATTTTGAAGGTTCCGGGCTTCCAGGAGCAGACCCCCCCCCCTGCAGTGCAGATCGGCCTGCCCGCACACAGCCCCCCCCCTGGAGGCCCGCAGCCTTCAAAACATCGGGGGGCGGCTGTAGTGCGGGTCAGGCTCGACCCCGCCACTACAGCACCCCCCCTGGAGGTCCGGAATCTTCGAAACAACTTCGTTAATATTGATTTTGGAGGTTCGGGGCATCCAGGGGGGGGCTGTAGTGCGGGGCAGGCCTGACCCGCACTACAGGACCTCCCCCCCCTGGAGTCTGGAACCTTCGAAACATTTTCGTCATTGACTTTGAAGGTTCCGGGCCTCGCGCGGGTCAGGCCCGGCCCGCACTACAGCACCCCCCATTCTTGGGTGCCCGAAACCTTCGAAACAACTTCGTCAAACTGGATTTCGATGGTTACGGCACTTCGGGGGGGGGGGCTGTAGTGCGGGCCAGGCCTAATCCGCGCTACAGCACACCCCCGTGGAGGCCCGGAACCTTCGAAACGATTTCGTCAAGATCGATTTTGAAGGTTCCAGGCTTCCATGGGGGGGGGCTGCAGCGCGGGTCAGACCCGACCCGCACTACAGGGGAGGTCGGTGCATACCTCCCTCCCCTGTAGTGGGTAGATCAGTTCAGAGAACCTTCAAGAAGAGACATGCTCACCACAGTACTCTGTCAGATGACCCAGATTACCAACAGGAGGGACCTAGGAGGGTAGATGCCTCAAGAGAGACCCATCCAAAGGAACATGTACTTTTGGTGGCAATCTCTTCGAATATCGCAAAGAAAGCCACGATGTATCAAAACAGCGCATGGGATAGTTTTACTTTCTATATCCTAGCGCAGCTCAGCAGCATTGAGTTGCAAATCAACGAACAATGTTGCGTAGCATGTAGAGATGAACCTTAGCATCGATTGGTTTTTAGCCTTG